TTAGGGGACGCTCACGGTGAAATGCTCGCTCTTATTTTTCACATAGAATAGGAAAGCCACCATTTTGGTTTCTCTACGATTGATTTTAGCTATCCTAAGTTGGTCATGAGCAACTTAGACTTTGAATCTTAACTTTACGATTGACTTAGGTAAGATTGGTTAGTGGAACGGTATGCCGATCGTAACGTCACGCTAAGATTGGGATTTTATGGGTTTACGATTGGCGTAGGGCTAAGATCGGTTAGTGGAACGGCACCCCTGATCGAGCTTCATGAGTCCTACTCATGAGAACTTGTGTTAGTGACAAATAGGTGATTTTTCAAAACCCTGTCAGGAGTAGGCAATATACGAAAATATTTTTGCTGGACGTAAAACTTCATCATGTAAGTAATTTACCCATTGAGCTCCAAACATGCAAGTGTTTTAGACATGCTTATATCATGTTCATTCTTTTCAGTTCTACACCTAGATATACTATTCCCATGTATTATAAGTTAAATTATCTAATTTTGCAGTATATATTGCTAGCTTATATGTAATGTCAGCTCAGAGTGAGTGAGTTTAGTATTACGCCGCACTCAGCAATATTCCAGCTATATGGCGGTATTTATCCAATTATACCAGTTCATCTGTTTTATCACTTTATAACCATTAAAACAATTATTACATATACTTTACACTCATAGCTTTGTGTAATAATTTGTGTAATCAATTATTAAACCTCTTAGCCTTACAATGCATTGACACAAGTCACGTATAACATTTCTAAAAGAATCAGTTTCAATTTACAGATACGTATTGTGGATCTAGGGACTTGTTGGAGATTGACAAGAGGCTTGGCTTGGTAATCATTTATAGTTACACCCTACCATGCTCCTAATTTCATTAAAGGAAATCTTAAAACAATATTTTTTATTCATCAGCATTTAGTCAAAAACAAGTAAACACTAAATAGATACATAGAATAAATTTCTTTATCTTTGTGAAAAATATAATCACTCAAAATGTAACAGTGCGTGGATTCCAGTGTAATTATAAGTTGATATGTTTTTCAGTTCCAAGAAGAAGACCAGTTTTCTGGCCAGTCGCTTGTTTCAAGGAAACAAGGAATCCGTCTGGAATGGACGGCAGTTTCTCATCAGGTTAGTCGTCAAAGATACTTCACTTCATAGGTTTCACTTAACGACTTCAGTTTGATCTGTCCCTTTGTTATCCATCATATATCAATAATGAATATATTTAATTATTGTATATCAAATATGTAACTGTAACTGAAAGTGAATAAGTTGTGTTACACATTTTACAGTTTTTAAATTAAAGTAAAGGTCACATTAAAAAATAATATTTTTTGTTATTATATTGCTGTGAATGTTTCTTTAGAGGGTTGATAAAACTAAGAAATACCCACGATTTTTCATTCATGGGAAATGTTAGGTTTTGTATGCTTTTCTCAGTTGAGTTGGTCATTTCAATTTGAAATGAATAAGATCACGTATATAATCAGGTGTTACATTCAGTGTTTAAACATGATTCGTATCTATTTAAAATATGTATGTACCGTTTTACCTATTCTTAGATTTCAATTTGCGATTTGGTAGTAGATGTTACCTTGAATATGAGTACAGTAACAGTAATAAATATTACCACAATTTGCTTCAGAATACTGGATTGGCTACTATTTTCTGGTACCAATCAATCAAATAAGTGACATGTCCAATGGAAGATACAATATACATGTATACTACAGATCTTTCCTTTGTGATTGTGAAAAAAATCTTTTGGTTACATCTACAAATTAGTCGTTCTAATTTTATAATTTCATTGTGATCAGATATACCACTGTGCATGTTTTTGAATATGTATACATGTGTTACTTTGGCTGTTTTTGTAGTTTTACTAAGCATTGTATGTATTGTATTTGCAGGATGATGCAGAGTCTGTGTGGGACGATGAGCACGGCAACGATGTTGTGCCAGACATCAACCAGGACTCTTCATATTCACCCACAGATCTTAAGTAGAGCATACACCATCTGTTTGCGGTTGTGGACTGGTTCAAGCCTTGTTGTAATCAACTTGGTTATATTTCCCCTTTCTCTGTGTGGCAAAACAAATGTCTCAACTCAGGCTCTGATTCATATGTACCAGATCAGAGGATTGCTGTCAGCTCAGTATGAGTGCAATAGAAGCTTCATGGTTGTCAGCAAGTTGCCAAGTCTTTACTATGTGAGATTGTTAGTGTGTATATTGAGGCAGCTTCAAATGTACACTTCATGTATATGGGCCCATGACCTTTCATACAATAAACATTTGAATTTGAATTTAAAATCTGTTGAATAAATATCACAGCAAGTATGTTATGCCTGCACTAGTAGACATCATTTCATCATATGCATAAAATGTTGTAGGGTTTTGACATATTTGTATTTGCATATTCATACAGAAGTTGTGTTCTCCAATGCTGAAGATTCCCTCTTGATGTGGCTTCTCTCATACATACATACATACATACATACATACATACATACATACATACATACATACAGACATACATACATACATACATACATACATACATACATACATACATACATACATACATACATACATACATACATACATACATACATACATACATACATACATACATGAAAGTCGTAAATCTAAATTTGTAAATGTGTACATGAAATAAAAACAAACTTATATACCTACCTGTCTTATAAGGACAGTAAAATAACTAGTCTATCACAAATGTACACTAAAAACTGGCATGTAACCATAAACACTTTAACGGTACAGTATAAAAATGGGCTATAGATTGCCAACACCTGAAGGTTGATCAACATAATTTATGCATTATTAATGTGAACTTTCTAAATATCATTTGTTTATCAGCAAATTGTTGAATGTAAATAAACCTATCATGACTTTGTGTTTTATTCTGTTATTTGTCATCCTGACGGTTTTACCATTGTGCAATTGTATAAAATACCTCATTTGGTATGTGTGTTGCATGAAACACAACCTCTTTTCTGGAGGAGCGGGTAAGGGGCCGGCGCAACAGATTCAGTTTCATGGAAACCAGGTTATAAGCTGGGAACTAGGTTGGAAACAACAATAAAGTAAGCACCAGCAGGAGCCTTCATGGACGAGTGGGTAAAGTCCCGACATTGATACCATCCAGATACTGGTGCAAAATGTAGTTTCAGTTGTAATGGAAACTAGGTTATAACCTGAAAACTAGGTTGAAACCTACAACAAACTAAAGCATGTAAACCAGGTTGAAACCTACAACAAACTAAAACATGGAAACCAGGTTGAAACCTACAATAAACTAAAACATGGAAACCAGGTTGAAACCTACAATAAACTAAAACATGGAAACCAGGTTGAAACCTACAATAACCGAAAAAACGGAAACCAGGTTGAAACCTACAATAAACGAAAACACGGAAACCAGGATGAAACCTACAATAAACGAAAACACGGAAACCAGGTTGAAACCTACAATAAACGAAAAAACGGAAACCAGCTGGATCCGGCTTGGAGGAGTGGGTAATGAATCGCACTGGAAACCAGCCGGAAATGGTGCAAAATTCAGTTTCAGTTTTCATGGAAACCACAATGAAACTTTTGGAAACTACATGGAAACCCAACTGGAAATGGTGGTTTCCATGTCGTTTCTCCTCAGTTTCAGTGTTCCGGAAACCAACTTATTTTTGTAGTGGAGGTATCTCTACCAGCCGGGAGAACATGAAAGGGACACTCGGAAACGAGCCACCGACCCGACATGGTCGGTCAAAACTTACAACATAGATAAAATGTTCATCAAAGCCGACGAGCCGTACTTGTACTACTTGAAAGATGGACCAGGGAGAGGTTTCGTCAGAGAGGAATTATTGATCATACCAGACGGCACAATGTTACCCCCACAAGCAAAATATTTAACACTTACCTTGTCGAATAAACCCAATAGTATCCTGTAACCAGCTCATAGGCGTTTCACATTAAACTGTTTCCTCGAGGTCAACACGACATAGGGCGATCACAATAGCATCACGTGATCAGGAAAGTGTTGGTTCGCGGTCATAGTGACCAGGAAGTTAACTGGGGGTTCAAACCATGGTATATACAATAGCGGACAGAGATAAGGGCCTGACAAAAGCTTTTTTTCATAAATGAAGCTTTACAGAGTCTTTTATTGGAATTGATCTCGTACGGCTATTGTATATACTACTCAAAGCACAAAGTCACTCTGTTCGTTTGCCTGATTACTCTGGAGGGATATGATGTATAATATGCACAATTTGATTTTGACTGATAGCGTCAACCTTTCAAGTAGTGTCCACACTATTCCGTGACGACCAACACGTCAATTTGGGTGTAGTTCTTTACAGTACATCCCATGTTCTGATGTCGTTCTTAGATCCACCGATAGGTGTCGCATCGCGCAGGCAATAACCTTAAATATAACAAGACAAAAGATGCTAAAACTAGTCCATAATAAGCAATTTTTGAATCAGCGAAGGAAAGGTCCATCCGTATTTTAAGACCATCAAAATGGAGTGATATTTCCCAGTGAGTGAGTTTAGCTTTACGCCGCCTCTAGCAATACACACACACACACACACACACACACACACACACACACACACACACACACACACACACACACACACACACACACACACACACACACACACACACACACACACACACACACACACACACACACACACACACACACACACACACACACACACACACACACACACACACACACACACACCATTTTTTAGAAGAAATCCCAGCGAGTTATTTACATCCTTAAAAGTTGATAACTTGTACACTTGCTGTAAGTGGACCACAACTGGTTACAGGAATATATTTCAGTCACATCGCTATTCCTATCAGAACAAATCAAACCTTACATCTTTAATGAAAGACAACCTAACAATGTCTGATATGCAATGGTTTGTGTAGAAAACACACAGTACTCACGTCCGACTGATGAAGTCCAATAAGCGTCATCCGATTGCATCACAGGTAAGTCCTCACACCTGATAATCACAAACGTTATTGATGGTTATATTCGGTTATTCGTATGTCAGTGTCGTCAGCCCAAGTGCGGTGCATACAGCGTAAAGCAGGCATACTCAGGTAACTGCTGCAACTGCGTAGAAGCCGCCTAATTGTGCAACTGCCATCCTAAAAGCGGTATGTAGGTCATTGCGTCACCCAATGTATTGTCGCGTATTGACTGTCACCAAGACAAAAGCCTTCACGGTGGGCTGTTAACTGAACACCCATATATAGTAACGTTCCTGACAAGTGGATATCTATGTAGTTAGTGTGGGCTGGGTAAGACAGAAAGGCTAGGCCATAATTTAGGGCTAGGCCTAGGGTCAGACAATGAAGAACAGTTGGCCCTTTGGTAATGTCCGGGTCTGAGATCAAGGTATAGGAGTTAGGTATTTAGATATATCTGGGTCTAATGTCAGCTTTATGAAGGAGATTTAGGCATGGGTCGAGCGTCAGGATGAGGAGGAAAACACAAAGGGGAGGCCAAAAGACATATGACACAGGTGGGCTGCCAAAAGACACATTACACAGGTCGGCTGCCAACAGATACGTGACACAGGTGGGTGGCCAACAGGCACATGACACAGGTCGGTGGATAACAGACACATGACACAGGTTCGTAGCCAACAGACACATGACACAGGTCGGTGGCCAACAGACACATGACACAGGTGGGTGGCCAACAGACACATGACACAGGTCCGTAGCCAACAGACACATGACACAAGTCGGTGGCGAACAGACATATGACACAGGTTCGTAGCCAACAGACACATGACACAGGTTCGTAGCCAACAGACACATGACACAGGTCGGTGGATAACAGACACATGACACAGGTCGGTGGCCAACAGACACATGACACAGGTCGTGACCAACAGACACATAATACAGGTGGGTGACCAACAGACACATGACACAGGTCGGCGGCCAACAGACACATGACACAGGTCGGTGGATAACTGACAAATGACACAGGTTGGCGACCAAAGACACATGACACAGGTCGGCGGTCAGCAGACACATGACACAGGTTGGTGGAAAACAGACACATGACACATATCGGCAGTCAAGAGACACATGACATAGGTGGGTGGCCAACAGACACATGTCTGTGGAAGACAGATACATGATTCAGGTCGGCGGCCAACAGACACATGACATAGGTGGGTGACCAACAGACATATGACACAGGTGGATGGACAACAGACACTAGACACAGGTCGGCTGCCAACAGACACATGACACAGGTCGGTAGCCAACAGACACATGACACAGGTCGGTAGCCAACATATACACATGACACGGGTCGGTGGAAAACATATACATGACACAGTTCAGTGGAAAACAGACACATGACAAAGGTGGGCGGCCAACAGACACATGACATAGGTGGGTGGCCAACTGACACATGACACATGTCGATGGAAAACAGACACATGACACTTTATCTCCTATCACAGCCTCTGCCAAGGTGAGAAATCTTGAAGTTAAGCAACGTCGAGCTCGCACAGTCCTTGGATGGGTGACCGTGTTTGGCAGCTTGACTCCTGAGAGTCTCTAGGACTTCAGTCCTGCCCAACAACGAAGCACATGTGATACATGTGGTCTCATCTTAGGCAAGTGAGTTTGTTCAACAATTGCCTCTGTTCACCCAGCAGAAAATGGGTACCCGGTTGGATAAAGTCATGTGACTATAGCCTTCTTGCGCCTAACCGGCAGCTTGGGTTATGCGGGGTAATAAGAATCAGATTCTGATTAAGCGCCGCGGGCGATCACTTGGTGGACTGTGCGCTACAGAAGATGATATTTTTATGTTTTACAGATTAAGATGAAAATGCAGCAGAGAGGGTTCGGATGATCCTGGCACTGTCAGGCTGGTAAGGCTCATCATTAGCTCAGGGCCCTTGCCCCCTCTAAACGCAGCCCAGACTGCGAATGGGAGTTCTCCCAGGAAACACTGTCTAGTCGAACCCACCAAGAACTTTGCGGAGAATATGAAGGCTCCCCCAACACTGCAGCCTTCTGCATTACCCAGAGTGTCAGAAGGGCTGTGCTCCCTGTGGAGAACCCAGGCACTCTCCTGATATGCGCCAAAGGATCAGGATGTACCAAACCAAGGGCACCGAGAACAACGGGGAGTCTGACGATAGTGTACTTGGGATGCAAGCGAGACATTTCAAAGGCGAGGTCCGCATACTTAGTATACGTTTCCTCAATCTTGCCAATCACATTGGTGTCAAAAGGAACAGAAAATTCAATGATATAAATAAATTCATTGGCTTTATCAAAAAGGACAAGATCAGGTTTGTATATGTTCATCTGCCAACTTTCACTTGAGACAGATCGCCAAGCTTCGACCATACCTGACAAGATCTGCAGTTGAGAAATTAGGTCTGTCCCATATAACATCTAGAATGGATTACTGCAACAGCCTGTTATTCAACATCCCCAAAGAACAAATACATCGCTTGCAGTTGATTCAGAATGCGAACAGTGCGAACGATCTCCGTGTTCACAAGTACGATCACATCTCCCATCACTTAAAGAATCTTCATTGGCTCCAGTTTCATCACGGATTCACTTTTACGTTGATTACACCTCCAAGAATTTTACGTTGATTATCACACGTTGATTCGAACTCAAAGCCATTTACATCAAACCAAACCAAAACACATAATAATGCTAATTTTGATGATGGGATTAAACCAAAAATTAAAACACATAATAATACCGAGTGAAGTTCCTAGGAGTTTGACCATGTAAAAGTGATAATAACAGTTCAGTCTTAATAGAGTAGTTTAATATCGTTGTTAGGTTTTATTTATTAGTAGATGGGTTTGTTTCTTGAATGTAATTGTGGACTGATGTTGCTATGTTATTAGTTTCAGTATCATTCAATAGGCTATCACTGTATAGAATAGTTTTCATATCAAATCCTTTGATGTAGAAAAAATTGTTATGTCTTAAATGATTAAAACTAGGGCACAAAAATATAATGTAATGGATCCTCTGTGGAATGGCCACAAGGACAGGAGGATATTTCAGTCCATCCGCTTATGATGCACTCCTCCACTAAACGGGGTCTTCTCATTTAGCCACCTACTGTTCTAGGTTGGAAAACCACTGACAATAGATGTCTCTGAAATTTTGATCCCTTTGAATTAAGATCCCCCAATAGTATTCAACATCAAGCATCACATAACGTATACAATATTATTACCTACGAGGGCGAAAATATCGGTGTTCATATGTTTCATACGATGCCCTAGGGCAAAATATCATGGTCATGGTATCATATCATTTGTCATGGTGACGTGACGTCATGAACAATGCTATGACGTCGCGTTTCTTCTATGACATGCGGCGACGGCGGCCAGCCAGCCTATGTTTGAAAGTAGATTTGGGGTTATTTTCCTCAATTTGACGGTTTCGCTAATAAACAGAATTTATCATCTAATTTAGGGTGTTATCGGTACAATAAAGCAATCTGATAAACTTGGTATCCAAATCTGATAACTATGCAAATTAGGTCAATCCACGAACTACTTTCACAAAACTCCATACACGCCATGCGAATCCTAAAACGTTAATATTTCATTGATGACGTCGTCGCGAGTTTACATTGTTTGTAAACAAACATGGCTGCCCCCATTCTCAAAATTGGTGATTCTGTAAGAATTGATGACCGAGGTTCTGGAGTCGTTACTGCAGTAATTGACTTTGGAAAACATGAAACGGAGAACTTCGTTCAAATTGAAGGTACGGATTATGAGGTACGACTGAAAGGCAATCGTCTAAGAAAGGTACCAACCAAGGATTTCGATCTATCGATCACAATACTGACGACGAATCCGTTCCGTAAGGTATCAGAAACTGATATTGATGAGGTGATTACCCGCAGTGAAAACAGAAACACTGCCAGGAAAACCCTGCCCGATTTTGTTGTTCTTTTTAGACAGAAAGATATTAGGTGAGGTGAAATTGGGTTTTACGTCGTGCTTCAGAATATTTCGCTTATATGACAACGTGCATGCGTGTGTATGTGTATGTGCGACTGCTTGTACTAGCCCAGACTTAAGCTGGTTTTATAGTGCTAGCCAACTGTGATACCATGCCCAGTGAAGCATGAATAGGACCAACAAGTACCATATTTTAACGTCTTTTGGTATGACGCGGGCGGGGATCGAACCCGCGACCTTCCGCTCTCCGGGCGGACGCTCTAACCACTACACCACGGAGGCGGTCAGAAAGATATTATTTGAAGCATGAGTTATGTTTGCACTGTATTAGCAACTAGTCACAACCATATGCCGCCGTCATGAACGACCTTCACCTTGCTGTACCGCTAAGTATTCTCTTCATATAAATTCACGTACGATTTGCTTCTATTTTTAGAGTAATTTTAAGAATGACATTATATGATAAAGAGATTATTAACCTCGTGTGTTTCCGTATCATTAATATCATATATTAGGAATAAAAATTATGTATTATGCTCGTCAAAGGCTCGCATAATACTATTTTTATTCCTAATATATGATATTAATGATACGCAAACACACTCGGTTAATAATCTCTATATCATATTCGTGCCCATATCATAATATGTTTACGACACTCGTGTCTAAATATCGGTATATCCCTCGCTCTTGCTTGGGAAATACCAACATTTAGGCACTCGTGTCGTAAACATAGTATGACATGGGCACGAATATGATATCCTCTATGTAATCAACATTAAGTATCACTTGGACATATATAGTATTAAATACTCTTATGATCAGGTTTATTAGTTTATTTATCAGCACATATAAAATATACAATAATACATGCAAATATGTGCACAATTCAATAGCAAGTTAAATGGGAAACGGCGATACAATGCACATTTGTGTTTCCTGCCGCAAGTTGTTCGTTAAGATCTACTATTCAAATGGAGATATTGATCTTCTTGCGTGGTGGATTTCTATTATTTACAGACCGTCGCCATATAGCTGGAATATTGCGGAGTGTGGCGTGAAACTAAACTCACTCACTCACTCTTTTCCCTATCTAGAGAAATTGATTATTTACAGAAGATCAGTGTATTTATAGATGCTGTGCTGACGGGTATGAAGCAATTAAATAGTCTGCATTTTTTTATATAATAAGTACTTACTGTTCAAAATTGAAATATTGATTACATTCGTTTTCTAAAATATTATTAGGATGTAGTATTGGTTAATTTGTCAAAACTCACAAAGCTCTTGTTTAAGTTAGTCAATAGCCCAACTCGCACTAGAATACCATAGCCAATAACATGCTTGTCCAACACTGCACAAAACTATTTTAGCAAACTCAGCAGAAAAAGAATGCAACAAAATGCACCAAGGGATCTTCGCAATGAACAGAAAAGTTTTGAATTTAACGTGCAAAACGTACGATTTTGAGTTGTGTGGTGTAGTAGTTGGGTAGCAACATTTGCTTATGTTTCACCGCAGTACGGGAATTTAGAATTGAAACGATGTGTTAAACCAAGTTTATTAGAAATAGAAGTTGACGTAATCCACAACTGGTGGGTAAAGTTGTTGAAATAGTAAATAATGTAGTTTTTAGAGCTGCATTAAAGGTTTAAAGTTGTTTTTTCAGAATGTTATGATTTGATTTATTTTTGTTTGTTTTTTAACGCCACGCTTAGCAATATTCCAGTTATATTGTGGCAGTGTGTAAATAATAGACCGGACAATCCAGTGATCAATAACATGAGCATCGATCTACGCATGGGATGCGATGTCATGTGTCGACCAAGTCAGAGAGCCTGACCACCCGATCCAGATAGTCGCCTCTCAGGACAAGCATGGGTTGCTGAAGACTAATTGTAACCCGGATGTTCATGGGTAATGTGTTTTTATTTCTGGGGGCTATCTCACTTCACACGTATGTTAACGTTCGCTGTTACTGTAACAGCACTTACAGTTTGTTCGAGTACTGATCGTCTGCAATAATTGTCATCTCCTCACTTTATGCCCAATCTCATCTTAGCAAACAAAGGTAGGTCTGAAACGGTGAAGGGTGAAAACAATGATAGAAGCTGGTGGACAATTCTGGACATGCTTGTCTCAGGACATTGTTTGGTATGTGGCAATTAATATCTGATTTGACAAACCACAATAGCGTTACATGTTTGGATGGGGCTTGTCATTAACGAAACCCATCTGATAATTGGAGTATGTTGTTCTTCTATGAACTTGGTTGGCTCAGAGATTTCTTGTCTAAACATTCACTGTAATGAAAACCAGCATCCTTCGCTGCATTGTAACCATTTGACTTTCACTCGATATAAGTCTAGGGGGCGGTTGGGTAGCCCAGTGGTTAAAGCGTCCGCTCGTCACGCCGAAGACCCGGGTTCGAAACCCCACATGGGTACAATATGAGAAGCCCATTTTCTGGTGTCCCCCGCCGTGATGTTGCTGGAATATTGCTAAAAGCGGCGTAATACCAAACTCAGTCAGTCAGTCGATATAAGTCTAGGGCTGTACTCTTTTGAGTAAAATGATACACAGACTCAGAAATACAATCACGAGGTTTAATCCTTCATAATAACATTTCGCATTCATAAAACAGGATTAATATTATGCAATATTCTATAGAAATGTAAACAAAATATAGAAATAAATAATAGTGTATACACAATTACCTAGATCTACCAGATACGTGACATTAGGTTGTTCATGCTACACGGGGTTTATAAAAGCCTCAACGAAAACAATCGCAGGATTGTACAGTTTTGGATATCAATGCAGTTCTGAGGAAACAGGACAAATAGGCTCATGATTATGTCGTGTGTTTGATTACCTAATGAAGTCAGCTGTCAAGCAGAAAACCACTCGGGAGGGACACATAAAACTGCATTCTCAGGGACGGTGGGGTAGTCTAGTGGCTAAAGTTCCCGCCCGTCACGCCAAAAGCACAGGTTCTATTCCCCACATGCATACAACGTGTGAAGCCTACTTCTGATGTCCCCCGCCGTGATATTGCTGGAATATTGCTAAAAGCGGCGTAAAATCCAACTCACCCACTTCTAGGCCAACACACCGAGATGTGCCTTTCTTCCTGATACAATATTAACTAAAGTAGATTGTGATAGTAACATTTCACCCTCCATCAACGTCAGTTTAAAAGCAATCTTATATATCCAGTCTTAATATAGACACATCGTACACCATAGTTACCAGGACGTCGAGAACTATGACTACATTTCTCTGAGCGCCTACAACTATATCAATCTACCTCACAACTAGAAGGGTATGTGATTATTATGTGTACGTTGAAGCCTCTCTTCGTCTCACCTATCATACGACTCAGTTCGTCAACACTCGCATCTTTCCGTTATCGTCATTCGGCTGGTCTCGGAATGGCAAGAGCTGGCAGCGAATGTCCAGCGTGTTGTACGACGAAGGGAGGTAACTCTAAGCACACTACTGCACGGCAATACATACTCTGTTTTTTTAGCAGAGATTTGGTATGGTATTTCATCCTGATCAGACATAATTTTTCCCTTTTAATTTCCGATTTTGTAAATTTGTGAGGTAATATTTATGACCGAACAGATAATGTATTTTCCTGGCCCTCATTTTTTACTTTTTGTCCAACAAATCGAATCGATCTCATGAATATAACATCAACGATGAAAACAAAAGTTACAGTTATGCAACTTAATGAAGGTTAATTGCTCTTTTTCTTTCCTTTGATTCACGTACACTATTGCTAAATCCTGAGAATAACGTGAAACACAAACTGCAAACTGCTGAACTGTAGGAAACATACAAAAACCTCCATTAAAGACAATCCCGACATGAAGGGATTCAATTGTAATTATACCATGCATGCTATTTCAGAAACTTCGTACATATACAGTCACCTTTTCTGGATTTCAGTAGATATCAGCACCTTGGGAAATACAACCAAAACATTTACACATTTCTCTTTCTCTTTCTCCCCCCCCCCCTCTCCAAATAATAATAATAAAAAAATAAAAACATATAAATAGAAAAAATATATATGAATAATAATAGATAATAAAATAGTAATTAAAAAATAAATACAATAAAATAACTAATAAATGAATTAATTAGTTAACAAAATTTAATAGAAAAAAAAGAAACAAACCAAATCACACAAAACAAAACAAAAACGAAACAAAATATTTTCAAATCCTTGTAACCAAGCAGGACAACTTTGTCCATTGGTCCACTGTGCTGCATCGCATGTCGCTCATAATACCAACCCCCCGTTTGTATAGCCAATGTATTATGGCTTGACTGTAGTTGATATCTCCGCGATCGGTACTTGTAGTAAACTGACACACGTACAATGTTTGCGAGTGGTAAGTCACAATCAAAAATATTAAAATAATATTTACGTTGTTTTTAGGAGTGTATGTTCTTTTGTGCGTCAGCTTCCTTTAATACAAAATTGTTTTACACTCACTACTGTGGGTAAACGAGAAACATCAACCCAGCAACCAACACAACAACCACGGCTTCTAATGGAGACAAACAAATGTTTCCTTGTTTTCACTTGCACCATTTGAACATTTTTGTCCTAAACACCCTCACTTTCCTCCTGTGATAGAACACGAGGAGGAGGACGATGAGGGCCACCATCAACAGCAGGCTGATGACGATCAGGGCGATCAGACCTCCACTCAACCCCCTTCGCTCATCTGGAACAGAACACACAATATCTTTTACATGAGCCTGGGAATCGCAAGTCAAGCCAGACAATTAACACAACCTTCACTGGTTATATGTTCCAAACAATTTTCACATAATGCTGCTATTTCAGGGACATCCAAGCAGGACATATGGCGATTTCTTTTCATTTGACAATGCCGTATTTTGAGATAGAAGTTAAACAGACTACGATAAAACACCTGGGACTTACTTTCTGCAAACTCCAATCTTCGTATATTTCTGATTGTCTTACCTGACTGCTGGTCGAACCTCATACATGACATGCCAAAATGAACCCAATGCATGGTGTGCGCACAATAACTCTCAAACATGGCATGCCAAAATGAACCCAATGCATGGTATGCACACAATAACTCTCAAACATGGCATGCCAAAATGAACCCAATGCATGGTATGCGCTCAATAAACCTCAAACATGGCATGCCCAAAAATGAACCCAATGTATGGTATGCATGTGAGTCATATCACGGTATCTCAGGGGATTTGGATGAAACACGCCGCTGAAGTGGCCGCTTGAATGAAACAAAACCTAGCACCGACAGGTGCCAACAAACCTGGTATTATAATGTGCGTATAATGCTTGTCGTAAGAGACGACTAACGGGATCTGGTGGTCAGGCTTGCTGACTTGGTTGACATATGTCGTTGTATCCCAATTTCGTAGATCGATGCTCATGTTGTTGATCACTGGATTGCCTAGTCCAATCTCGATTATTTACAGACCGCGGCCATATGGCTGGAATATTGCTGTATGCGGCGTTAAACAACCAACCAACTAAGATTGTACAGTTAGTCGACACATAGCTTTGACAAGTGAACAACTGAGCGATATGTTAGGGTTAAAGAAATTTTGACTCCAGTGAACTCGGAGTTGGAGAGCATGGTTAACTTTGACATAATCTTGAGTTTTAATTAAGGTGCAGATTAAGTGAGGGGATAAGAAGGTGGGGTGAGAGGGAGGTAGGCTTTGTAGTTGTAATGTGATGTAGTGCTTCGTTTTATTATCACATCACATCGCATCGCATCGCATCGCATCGTATCAGATCATATCAGATCATATCATATCATATCATATCATATCATATCATATCATATCATATCATATTGCAGTTTATTTTACAAATACAACAATCAACCCAGTTATCTCAGAACACGTTTGCAATGCATTGTGTATTCCTTCTTTAGCAATGTTTCCAAGGTTCTACCGATGATTAGTGTAATTCCTAAGTTCGCCCACATTATAATACCAGGTTTGTTGGCACCTGTCTGTGCTCGGTTTTGTTTCATTCAAGCGTCCACTTCAGACGCGTGTTTCATCCAAATCCCCTGAGATACCGTGATATGACTCGGACTGAAACGTTGTTCGAAGCAGGATAGTAAGTTCATTAGTTTACAATGTCTGCAGTGTGTGAAGATCAGTGCCCGCATAACATGTGTGAGGTTTTGAGCATACCATACATTGGGTTCATTTTCTGAGTCAGTGCGTTTAGTTTTATGCCGCACTCAGCAATATTCGTATTTGGGCTACGACGACGTGTGTCAGCCAAGTCAGCGAGCCTGAGCCCCCGATCCCGTTTGTCGCCTCTTACGACAAGCATTGGTTGCTGAAGACCAATTCCAACCCAGATCTTCACGGTTAGATAAATGGTACACATTCCGGGCATATTATGGTGTGACGCAGCCTACAGAGTACTTACTATCGAGTGGAAGTTGAAAGGCTGTGTAGTCTCCGCACACTGGGTATCCATAAGGTTTGGCGGGGAGTTTTGATGTTGATTCGTCCAGTAGCACGGCTAGACCATTTGTGTTGTAAATATCTACCATAGACTGAAGGTACCACAGACCCAGATTATCGGCCTTGAACCTCAACACGACATATCCACCAGATGGCACTACAACTGTGTCCTTCAGAGGAGGGATCCGAGGATTGACTTCCGAAGCTTGCCAGTTCTGCCCAGGTCTCCACCTTGCCCTATTGCAGTAGACGTCCACACACTCAACATCTTGATTGTCATTCAACACTTCACCAGAGTAATCCTGGTACTCCGGGAAACCTTGATGTGCAACATAGAAGGAATGGCCATGGAGATGAACTGGCTGTGAACCCCCCTTCCCCGAGCCTTTGTTCAGCAGGATCATCTCCACGATGTCCCCTTCGTTGATGTAGACAGTATGCATGCAGTAACAGGGGGTTTGGTCGACACTGCAAGGGTCATTACACTCAATTTCCACCTGAGTCCGCTGGGTCAGTGCTGAGACTTTGGGTCGGAGAAACCGAATTCCGTTGACCGATCCAGGGTTACTGTCTCTTCCAGGAAAAGCAAAGTTGAGAAAGAGCCTTTTAGGGTACCTTTCGGTGATAATTTCATCTCTGTTTGGATCAATGGCATATCCGTTAACATCATTTAATGTAATGCATGTCAAGTTCGGCATTCTGGAGAAATATTTGAATGGGCAGTTGAATACTCTACAGGTAAAATTTCCCCTGGGATTACAGGGGTGGTCTGGTATGCTTAGCGATCTGTTTACATTCTCGTCATCGTATTGTAAAATGGCTTCGGCGATATGACGAACGGGTAGATTGACTTCAAGGGTGTCGGCAGTTATCATGTATTCAGTCACATTGAAAGGATTCGAAGCATACAGTAAAAAGTCAATTCGTTCGCCGGGCTGGATTACGAACGAGTCCACTTCAATTCGCTGCAGGTCTTGTCCGTCTGTTGTAATGATGGTTAGGCTGTGACCTGGGATATACACTCTGAACGCGTAGATGGTGGCAGCGTTGATGACTCTAAACCTGTAGGTGTCCCCTTCCTTGACCACAAACCTGGTTAGAGGAGCACCATTATGTCGACCCGTTATCGGATCGTAGTACCTGCCCCGTCCATTGATCAATCCACTGTGGAATTCAAAATTACCAAATTTGGTGTTATCCGATGATCGCGTTTGTTCATATTTAGAACAGTTGGTGGTTGAGGTACAAGAATATGCTGAAGTGACACTCTTCAGATACACCGTTTCAGGATCCAGATCATGATTCCAGTCTTGTAGAAGCATGATGTGCTCAGGCATATCGACTTCTTTTCTGCTCTTTACAATGAGTGGCCCGTACAAACCCAGCCCTGTCTGTCCTGCAATCTGAGAGTGGTAATAGTGTGTTCCTGCCGGATTTGCCTTGAATTTATACTTAAATGTCACACCCGGAAGTATGGGGCATTGGGTGACAAAGGGTACCCCGTCCATCCATGGAGTATTTTTCTGATGGATGCCATGGAAATGAACGGAGACAGTGTCAGCGTGGAGTCTATTAGTGAAGAACACTTCAACCACCTGTCCTTCATAAACAACGATAGGAGGGCCTGGGAAGTGTTCTTTTAACGCTGAATCAGCCATTTGGTCGTGGATGCTGATTACAAATCTAGCCTGCTCGCCATCTGTTGTGATAATTCGTCTGGCCACCGTGTCGTTAATGCGCCAGGCCGTAGTGTCGTTTAAGGGCAGGCCCGTCGTGGCGTTGTAATACGTTATGTCATCGTAGTAATAGAGACTCCCATTCCTCGGGACAACTCGTTCGTCCCCATGCATCATAGTAAGGCAAGGATCAATTGAAAACACGAAGCGACATACCGTGCAGCTGGGTGTGCACTCACGCGAGCACACAGTGTTGGCGTGCAGGAGATGAATTGATGTCCCGACAATCAGACCCAAGAGCAAACAGGCGAAGCTTTTCATGGTGTGTCAAGGTGCCCGTCGTCGCCTGGTGAAGAAACACGGTGACACATTAATACTCAAACCTGTCCGCGCCCTGTTATGTTGAGATGCATGACAGGACAAATGCAACTGCAGAGCTGTCGTGGTTTGATCCTGACATTATGACCTATACTTGTTCCTGTTGTTGATGTGGTATATTACCTGTGAGTCTACGCTTTCTATTACTGTGTCTCAGCTACTACTTTCTGACAACAACTTATAGTTTTCATAATCACAAAATTATGTGTGCATGGACCCTTGGGTTTTACTGTTACAGGTTCAATTGATAAAGTTGACAGTACCTCTACTACTGCTATTACTACCACCATTGTCACTACTACCACGACATCACCACCACGACTACCACTACATGATCGTCACCACTTTCATAACGACTACAGCAATATCACCGTCGTCACTACGACTACCGCTATCTATCTATCCTATCTATCGCCGTCACCGCTACCACTATATCGCCGTCACCAATACCACTACCCCTACATTACCGTCATCACTACCACTACCCTACATCACCGTCACCACTACCACTACATCACCGTCATCACTACCAATACCACTACATTACCGTCAACACTACCACTACCACAACATTACCGTCATCACTACCACCACCCCTACATCACCACTACCACTACATTACCGTCATCACTACCACTACATTACCGTCATCACTACCACTACATCACCGTCATCACTACCACTACCACAACATTACCGTTATCACTACCACTACCCTACATCACCGTCAACACTACCACTAGATCACCGTCAACACTACCACTACCACAACATTACCGTCATCACTACCACTACCCTACATCACCGTCACCACTACCACTAGATCACCTTCATCACTACCACTACCAGTACATCACCGTCAACACTACCACTAATACAACATTACCGTCATCACTAACACTACCCCTTCATCACCGTCACCACTACCACTACATAACCGTCATCATTACCACTACCACTACATCACCGTCATCACTACCACTACCACTACATCACCGCCATCACTACCACTACAACACTGTCATCACTACCAATACCACTACATTACCGTCACCACTACCACTACATCACCGTCAACACTACCACTACCACAACATTACCGTCATCACTACCACTACATCACAGTCATCACTACCACTACCACTACATCACCGTCAACACTACCACTACCACAACATTATCGTCACCACTACCACTACACCACCGTCAACACTACCACAGGATCACCGTCATCACTACCACTACATCACCGTCATCACTACTACTACAACTCCGTCATCACTACCACTACCACTACATTACCGTCATCACTACCACTACCACTACATCACCGTCATCACTACCACTACAACACCGTCATCACTACCACTACCACTACATCACCGTCAACACTACCACTACATCATAGTCAACACTACGACTACATCAGCACTACACTATACCACGAGTTCGGGCCACATTGAATGAGACACCGGGATCTAATACTGCCTAATACAACTACCACCATTACTTCCTTTACTCCAGTCCTAGTGCTTCTGAGACTTAAACCTCAACCTGTTTCAGATTACAACATTCATATCATATATCATGTATATCATATTCAACCTCCTTTCGTTTATTAAACAGTCAATAAACAAAATTCGTTCGGGGAAGACATGTTGCAGCAATGAACGCGAATCAGTTGAACTCACCAAATTTATGATGAAGATATTGCTGAAATGTTTCAAACACAGAACATAAATAGTCAAGTTACCTTACGCCATATTGCTTTCCGTGCAGGTGAATACTCCCTCGCTTGTCAGGGCGGTTTGACTGGTTATTCAGAGAAGCGCTAGCCGCACTCCTCGTGACAAACTATAGCTACCTCCATGCATAATTCACGTTTCAGTCTTTCTATGCTGTCTTTCACCGACTTTGGGATCCGGGCTGTGTTGACGGGCTTCACAAGTCCTGGTTGATCGCGCTCGGGTCCGGATTGTCGGCGTATGAACGACTTTTGATGAGCGTTTTTATTCACGCCATTATATGTTATTATAAAGCTGATCTCTCGAGTACAATTCGCGTCGTAAAGCGTAGGAAATCAGTCCATAAATCTGGATTTATTTTGTTCAATTCTGACATTGATGATTATAGGTATTATGAACACAGAACGCGTCAATTGTATTTGATGTTTTAACGAATGTATAAGATTGCCAGGCTGTACTAACATTGCACGACCAGGGTTAGAATTGGTCTTCAACAACCCACGCTTGTCGTAAGAGGTGACTAACGGGATCGGGTGGTCAGGCTCGCTGGCCTAGTTGACACATGTCATCGGTTCCCAATTGCGCAAATCGATGCTCACGCTGTTGATCACTGGATTGTCTGGTCCAGACTCGATTATTTACAGACCGTCGCCATAAAGCTGGCATAATGCTGAGTGCGGTGTAAAACTAAACTCACTCACTCACTCACCAACATTGCACGACCCGGGTTAGAATTGGTCTTCAACAACCCATGCTTGTCGTAAGAGGCGACTAACGGGATCGGGTGGTCAGGCTCGCTGACTTGGTTAACACATTTCATCAGTTCCCAATTCCGCAGATCGATGCTCATGCTGTTGATCATTGGATTGTCTGGTCCAGACTCGATTATTTACAGACCGCGGCCATATAGCTGGAATATTGCTGAGTGCGGCGTAAGACTAAACTCACTCACTAACCGATTTCGGGAAATTAGATAAAGTTAGTCGACATAGTCTGAAATGTCGGTCAGCTGTAGGATAAAAATGGGTGTGAAACTATACCAGACATGTATGCCTCTCCAAGAGTCCAAACAGATAAGAAGGCGTTAGGGATCTTGGTGCAACAGTCCGGGACTTGTCCAACGCAATGCGATCGTTCTTGTTGTTACTTTGTCTGGCCTCTAACAGCCTGTAAGTAACTCTTGTTACTGCTTGGTGTTGCTAAAACACTTCCTTTATAACGATAAATCATTATATCTGAACGACTGGCCATTTATGACCTGTTTGGCCAAATTACTGTGAAAACTAAGATTTGCGGAAAACTTTGAAAAAGGTTCGGGAAAGTTATTGCAGTTCAGCCAAATGCAAAAGGTTGAATGGCAAAGTACAGTTAAGTCTGTGATCCAAGATAGATAGTTCACCATTTCTTTCCATATGTTTCAACAGGGAAAAAAGGAATTGCAAATATGACGGTATCCTTGCCGCTCATACCTCCATATGTTGGTTGCCTGTTCGCACACTTAAATCTCGTTAATCCTGATCGAACAATTTCCAGTGGAACCGTCGCAATGGGTATAAAGTGATTCCCCACTGTATTCAGATTCAACTTGGGTTACATTATTTTCTTGGACTCCCGAACTAACGGAACTCATTATGTGAATGTTGTTACAAATATGTTCAGATTATCATGATCTACACTTGGGTCAGTGATGACGAATGTTTCGGGGTTTTATGCAGATCGGTTGTAACGGTAAACATTCGCTATGCATGCACATACTATCATAAATGTCAACATTTATGCTATCCCGATAGGATAATTTGATATCACTCTTTATTTGCCAACACCGAAAATATATGGAAACAGTTCTGTATTCTGTAGTTGGGTATGCAACAATACCACTTCATACAAAGACCAGGGTGGGCAGCGGTTTCAGTTTGCAGGGATCCCATACGTCTTGTACAGGTTAAATATATGTTGGGTCCAGATTCTTGTATGGTAAATCCTTTCTCTGACGAATTTGTATGGTAAATCACCTTTTCATGTTTAAAGTCCGTGGTAATGTACGCTCCACAGCATTTACATGCATTTCTTCCAAACATAAAATAATTTTCTTGTGAACGCATACTACATTTACATATGCACATATATGTGTCCATTTACATGAGTATATTTGAAGCATGTGAACAGCACAACGGGCGAAACTGCGCTCAACGAAGTAAAACATATGGTTTGCAAAATCTGCTCTACAACTGAAACTGTTTTTGAAAGATCAGCTGACCAGATTTGCTGACGTAGCTCATGTGCGTCGCCGTGTTCCGATGGTGTGGATTGTTGTCGAACTGCTTTAAGTATCTTATTTCATAAACTGGTCCCAGTGCGATTACATCACATCTACTCTTGAAGATTCAATTATTTACAGATCGCCACTATCTACCTGGAATATTGCTGAGTGCGGCGTAAAACTAAACTCACTCACCCACTCTGTTCATTCTGCTGTCATTATCATCGTTACCGCTTGAGTAACTTTGAGGTAAAAGCGTTGGTTCATGGAAGCCCGGGTTCAATTCTCAGCAGGTGAAGCACATTTTTGTAGTTCCCCTCCGTGTTATGCTTGGATATTGCTAAAATGGTATAAAAACACTTTTCACTCATTATTGCCAAATTTCGCTCCGTTTGAGCTACCACATTTGCTGATGCGATGAAGTCTAGCTGTCGACGAATTTGCCAAGATAAACATATTCATTCAAAGATGTAATAACCCGTGAAGATTTGTGTTAGAATTGGTCCATAGGAACCCATGCTTGTCGTAAGAGGCGAATAACGGGACCAATTGCGCAGACCGATGCTCGTGATGATAATCAGTGGATTGGGGCGGCGGGGTAGCCTAGTGGTTAAACCGTTCGCTCGTCACGCCGGACATGGGTCCGATTCTCATCATGGGTACAATGTGTGAAGCCCATTTCTGGTGTCCCCCGCCGTGATATTGCTGGAATATTGCTAAAAGCGGCGTAAAGCTAAACTCACTCACTCACTAATCAATGGATTGTCCCGTCTAAACTCGATTACTTACAGACTGTCGTATATCTGAGTGCGGCGTTAAACAACAAACAAAACACAACAAACAAACAAAAAACAACAAACAAACAAAAACAAACAAAGATGTAATAGCGTATTAGAGTATTACTAATCTTGTTCCCCGTATGTTTCACATGTGTCAAGTTGACTGACACTCTATCAACTGATCTAGGAGGCTACTGGAGGCAGCATGTCCCAGTGACTGTCACTACAACGGTCGCTGCCAAACCAACACCTGCCATTGCTATGCTGGCTTCCAAGGATCGGACTGCAGCACTGATTGTGGATGTCAAGGCCATGGCACATGCGCACATGGTGAGATGATAAGTTGCTGAAAGGAGGTCATTACACGGAACAGTTTTAAAAACTTTAACCCATTTCTGAGACACGTTAAAAAGCATTACAGTGACTAAAGTATGGGTGATGATAACTTGAAGGACATATACTACCAACTAACCCTCATCCGCCATTCCTCCGTGATATTATAATTATGTCATCAAATATTTTAATGTAAACGTGTATTTGATTTATAGTTTGAAACAATTTATATCTTTAAATTCAACTCGTTTTAGTTAAACAATACATACATTTCGTATGCTCTGTGTGGATTATGAGTAGTAGCAATTCTATGCTCATGATGTCAATCACTAGTGTTTCTGGTCCGGATTCCACCGTTTACTGACAATCGTTATATAGCTGGAATATTGCCGAGTGTGGAGTTAAGCAACCCATTTTCAATCAATCTTTATTTTAGTACTTAAAAAGGCCACAGGCCTGTAGTACATTTAGAGTTTACATGAGTAGATAGAAGTCATTTATATTGTAATATTGATGTAGTAGTATCTGTTAATAGTGAAATTAATGTTCTTACACTTGGATGCTGATAATAGTATGGCTTTAAGTAGTTCGTTCGTATAGTCGTATAAACAGGACAGATTAGAAGGAAAAGTAGTTCATCCTCAACACATTTTAAACCCACCATGTCTTCTGTCGGTTTCTTACAAGTGAGGGGTGGTGGGGTAGCCTAATGGTTAAAGCGTTGGCTCGTCACGCCGAAGACCCGGGTTCGAATCCCCACATGGGCACAATGTGTGAAGCCCATTTCTGGTGTCCCCCGCCGTGATGTTGCTTGAATATTGCTAAAAGCGGCGTAAAACCAAACTCAGTCAGTCATTCAGCCTTACAAGTGAAGATCCGGGTTAGAATGGACCTTCAGCAACCCATGCTTGTCGTTAGAGGCGACTAACAGATCGGGTGGTCAGGCTCTCTGAAGTGGTTGACACATGTCATCGTATTCCAATTGCGTAGATCGATGCTCATGCTGTTGACCACTGGATTGCCTGGTCCAGACTAGATTATTACCATACAGATGGTTGAGTGCGGCGTAAATAAACAAACAAAACAAACAACAACAACAACAACAACAACAAAACAGTCGGTTTTTTGTGTACATGTGTTCTTTTGAACAAGAACCCTGTGAGATCATTACAACTAAAACCATATTGCACATACAGAGTTAAAATTGATGGTAGCATCAGCCTGATTCCTTGTAGTGACCATATTGGAAATATCAGTGATCAAACCTACGTGTGGTTTGTTGCAATGATAGGAGTATCCACATCGCGACTGAAAGCAAAAGTCGACAATGTCAGCGTTGTCTTACTTACCATTCCATGTTTCTCTGATTCCAAGACGGTACCTGCCAGTGCGAGACAGGTTGGAGATGGAACGGAGCTCAGAGGAAGTGTGTATGGGACTGCCATTGCCAGAACGGTTGGTAAAGGTTACCAAGCGCTTTCCCATAGATTTCTATAGCAACGTTATATTTTTAATAAAAAATCCAGGCACAGCTGGCTTTTAAACTAATAAATAACAGAAACCAGCGTAGCCAACTCGTTTTCCGAGTACATTTCAACCCCAGTTCCCCTACATGAAAATATCTGTATTTGATTCGGGTATCAAATCATGATTTGATTCGGGTATCAGAAGGGATATCACATGCATCATATCAGTGAATATATACAAAGTAGCAGCATGTGTTTATTGTATATAAAACCAAGCCATTCTGGCGAGAGGCGAAAATTG